ATGCGTAATCTTCAGATTGATGTGTGTGCACCTAGCCTTAAAGTATGCCAATAATTAGATATTTGAAATGATAAATATGTATTCATTTTTCGAAAGCACTGAGAAATAGTTAGTATTTATGAAAAATGTGCATTTATTTAATGTTTGCATGTTGCCCATAAAGTATAAGAAAATTTATATTAGATACTTATTAATAGAAAAAGGCAAATGGTGAACAACCAAAATATCGTGTGATTTAGAGTTTTTGCGAAAAGAAATGGTAAATGAAAAAGTGCAACGTAATAAATAAAAATAAAATAAAATAAAATAAAGTTTTTACTTTACTAAATAAATAAATAATAATAAAATGTAAATTTAATTAAATAGAGAAATTTTGATTTATGTAATGAAATATAATTTAAAAAGATAGTAAAATTATACATTTTTACTTAAATAACTAAAATCAAACTACATAATTTAATTTAATTACATTTTATAAGAAAATGGATAAAATGGGCTCAAATAAAATAGATTTACCCTACCGTTGGCTTCAGCAGCTAGTGCGCTAGTAATGTTGGCGCAATATTTTATATTTCATCAATAAATAATAATAATAATGAAATAGAGTTAGTTTAATGAAATAAGTTATTTTAATATAATAAAATAAAACAAAATAAATTGAAGTAAAAAAATTAAGCAAACAAAAGTCAAATAAAATAAAATAAACTAACATAAAATAATAAAAAAAAAATTAAATAAACATAAAAAAATAAAAAAAAATAAAATATAATAAAATAAAATAAAATAAAATAAAATAAAATAAAATAAAATAAAATAAAATAAAATAAAATAAAATAAAATAAAATAAAATAAAATAAAAAAAAATAAAAAAAAATATAATATAATATAATATAATATAATATAATAAAATATAGTAAAATAAAACAAATTAAAATAAAATAAAATAAAAATATTTTTAAAGTCAAATAAAATAACTCGCATCTAATTAACTAAAAATCAATCCAAAGACAGCAAAATAAAACAAATTTCATTTAATGAAATACAATTTATTTAAACTATTACTAATGAATTAAAAAAAATATGTAAAATAAAAGGAAACTAAAAATATAAAGCAAAATATAGAGTAAAATAAAATAGCATAAAGTTAAAAATTTAATAAATTTTTATTAATGATAATAATAAAATAAAATTAAATAATTTTCCAAATGAAATAAAATAAATAGCATTAAGTTAAACAAAAATCAAATAAAAGAAAGCAAAATAAAACGAATCTAGTTTAATGAAATAAAATTAAATTAAATTTAAAACATTACAAATAAATTATAAAACAAAATAAAAAATCAAAATTAACTTAAATGTGATTTAAACTAACAAAAAGATACAAAAACGCGAGGATATTTTATCTTCGATGACATGAGATGAGAGGACTTGTCGTCAGCTGATAAATCCACATTTCAAACTTTTTACAAAAACTATAAAAATTCAAAAAACTTTAACAAATTCAACCAAAATTTTTAAAATTTTAGGTAAGCTGATTTATAGCCCATTAAATTTTATAAATTTTATGTAAATTTTAAACGCTAGAAAATCGCGCTGATTTCCTTCATATAAAAGTAATGGCATACTGTAATGGCAAAAAATGCTCAACACCGTTAGCCAAAAAATTATTAAAAATCAACGCGATTTTTAGCGTCTAAAAAATTTCACTTTTACCTACTTAAATTTAATAGGCTACAAAATTTATGTCTGGGTGTAGCTGTGTGCGCAAGGATGCTTGCCACAATTTGTTTTGATATCCAGACATGATCAGGGTTCGAATTTCACTGCAGACAACATGCAACTTAAATATTTTTTTTTAGTTTTTGTTTTGATTAGTCACTTCACGGATGATTTTTCAGATCGAACGCAGCCACTTTAACGCATGCGCGTTATGCGCATAACCGAATTAAATATTTACCAATATACAGTACGTTCATTGACGTTTATAGTAAGATAAATCCCGTTTCTATTTGATTTTAATAGTGTAGTATATCTATATATTTTTTCCGTTTCCTCGCACCAACGGCCATTAAAATTTAACTTTGATGAAAATTAAACTGTGTCAAATAAAATTACGATTTTGTTTGCCTATATTAAAGTTTCGTTGTCGTTCACGAAGCAAAACAAACTGGAATATTTTCAGCCCTCAATCTTCATTTTTTAGAAAGCGTTTTCAAAAATATGAATTTTCAACAAAAACAAATGGTGGCCTTTATTTTTTTTTTAAATAACTAATAGTAACAAACAAAAAACCTTGTAGCCCTTTCAATTTTATTAATTGTACAATGTAAAATAATTTCGTTTTCAAGATTGGAACAAAGCCAAGCATTTTTCCATCAAACGATTTGAAGAATTTTCATTGATCGAAACTAATAATTTCGAAACGTCCCTAGGTTGCTCAAATAGCTATAAGCCCACTGAGTAATAATGTAATACTAACTGTAATAATAATAAATTGAGACACAACTTACTAATGAAAAATTTTAATTAATGACTAGTTTCAGGCAACAAAGCACTTTTAAAAACTAGCCAAATAAATTACACGAATTTATAATAGTTTTGACCACCTTAGGCTTGTTCACCATTTGCTTGACTAATAATTTTAAGAGTATTTAATAACTTTCCCTTCCAAACCTTTTTTTTTTTTTTGTTCAAACTGTAGTATACATTTTATTTGATATTAACTCCGGGGTAGCAGACTAAATATTTAGCTGTAAATTTCTTTTAATTTTACATACATACGTTTGAATTATCATATAATTTCTGATTTCTTGATAATATGTATACAAATTATATGAATGTATATGATTCTATTTTTTTTACCCGGCATTTAAAAATATTAATTATTACGATTTAAATGCTTAATTATTTCGAGTTTTCCCTTCTAAATCTAAAATTTGTTTTTTTTTATGATTTTTATTTAGTACCAAATGCAACAAAGACATACATGCAATATTATATTTCATATGTATGTATGTAATTTAATACTAAACTTTAACTAAAAAAAAAACACAAATACATACAAAAAATATGTTTTAAGAAAATATATGCGCACACAAAACTTCAAACACACAATTTGAATAACGAACTCAAACAACACACAACCACAAGCATATGGCATAGGTTTAGCTCTATTTTTTTACACATGTATGTACATATGTACATTTATACTCGATGCATTAAATGCAAGTTTTAGAAATAAAGCCTGCTTAAAAGGTTATTCGCTAGAAATGCGCATTAGCATACACTGACACATTTGGAGCTGCGTCCAGCACATAACATGTACATGTACATATACATGCATACATACATAGATATCTATAAATTAACATCAAATAAGAACACACAAAATACACAACAGTTTCATAATTTTCATTGTAAACCAACACAACACATTTTATTAAGGCCAAATTTTATGTCATAAATAATATACATACATAATACTTACACATCTAACTATGTACATATATCTGTATTTTGACCCTATTAAATAATTACATAAATTAACTTAAGCTTTTAACCTCTATGTATATATGTATACACATATCAATGTATACTCGTACAAATATATATCTAAATATACATACATAAATAGAAAAAAAATATTTATAAGCAATTACTTACAAATGTATGTATATACATAAGTACCCAGTAGGAAATTTGATCATGTATGACTTTAAAGCCTTGCTCTTAGTCGTGTTCCCAAATTTCTGGTATTTTGTGGCTGCAAACTAAGAGGAAGTCGAACACGTAAATACTTTTGTATATCTCATAGCACAGTGTATCACAAATTTAGGGACGGACTAGTTCCGAATGTTCAAAGAGCAAAACCCGTCAAAGCTTTCTGGTCCTCAGGTCAATTCTATATTTTATGGACGAAAATATGTTAAATTTGGTTCTTTTATAGCTTTTGAAAAAGTGAAAAAAGACTTAAAATTTGTATATGTAAATTCCGACTTTGCTTTTTCACATGGATTTTTTTTTTTTTTACCACCCCATTAGGGTGCATTACATGCTTATATGATCTTTTCCGACTGGGTATTTATAATACAACAACAGTACAATATACTTACACGCACACACATATAGCAAATCACATTCATACATAAAAAAAAAACATATTCAAACACATTTACATATCGTCGTTTAAAGTACAAAATCGCGTATCGCCATTCTGCAAAACCGCGTAACTAACATTGGCTGCCAAAAATTGGATTTGCTCAATCGGGCTCTAGGCTCAATTCTTATACATTCGTCCTGAAATATACTAGCCAGAAATCCGATTGCTTTATAAAAAAGAGAACCATTTTGAAATATAAGTGTTTTTGCTCTCTAGAAAAAAATGTATGCAACCTCACATACGCAGTTTTGCATTATCTTGATACGCGGTTTTGCATTTTGCTGATACGCGGTTTTGTACTTTAAATGACGATATATATGAATCTGTATTCATTTACATATCTACATATACTACATACTTATCAATATATTACAACGTATTATATCTATAAACTAAATTCAGTTCTACTTGTTATTGTATTGTAATTTTTCTCGTCTAATCACCTGCCAATACCAATTTTTCTAATCAAATATTTCATTTCTTCTTATCACTCAAACATAAAAACGAATTTGCAACGCATTGCATTGCATACATATGTAAAACCGTTTGTCACAAATACACACACCAACACATTTATCAACGATTTCCGCCTGTATGTGCCTGGCTGACGACGATCAAAATGTAAATGCTGCGTCATCATCATCCTGGTATACGTACCTGCATTATGACACTTTGTCTCTTGTGCTGTTGGCGCGGTCTACGTCCTTTGAACTTTCACGGGCTGGGACTCTATTGCGACTTTTCCGACCGCACACCTCTCTTGCGTATGTGCTTGCGTGCGTGCCTGGCTGACTTTTTGATTGGTGCGGTGCCGTTGATTCACCCCAACAAAAATGCATAGACATATTGTCGTTTGCGGACATATAACGTACGAGTCGGTGTCGCATTTCTTAAAGGATTTCCTGCACGAGGATCGTGAGGATGTGGATGTGGAGGTTGTATTTTTACATCGGTAAGTTTTTGAATTTTTCATAACTTTTGTCAATGTACTCTCAAGTGGTTAAGCATACAAATGTATGTTTGTATGTTATTTTCATGCATATATGTATGTACCTATGTAAGTAACTATATGTATATGATTCTTTGTTTATACTTATGTAAGTTTGTTTTTTTTTTTTAAATGGCTTTGTGTGCTTATGCGCCATTCAGGAAATTTGCATACATACATATATACTGTATGCAGAAATTGATAGTACAATAGACCAACGTTGCTAGGATTACATGCATACATATATGATTTATTCTTAGCTTATGCGAAAATGCATATGTATGTATTTGAAAGTATATGCTGTAGTTAATAGTTTATATATAATTACTTTATTCAAACTGTTGCTAATATTTCATACATTATAACAGGTTATTGAAAAAGTACCGTTGTCTGCATTTATTTATATTCCGAACATTTTGCTTCTTAAAATTTTTTTTTTATATGTATGTATTTATACGCTTGGTACATACTGATTCTCTTGAAGTTTTCGTAATCAGTAAATTTATATTTTTCGATTGACATTCTTATGAAGATTCCTACTCCATCAGCATTGTTTTTCTAGATTTTTGAATTCATAGTACATGATGGATAAGCAACAAGAGTTTACTGGGTGTGTTTAGCTCAGCGGTTAGCAAGCTGGCTTAGCGCATCGATTGATGCAACGTCAACTCCCGGTGATGTCTAGAAAAAATCGATCCTTAAGTTGTTTTGCCAACTGAGAATATAGAACCACTTTTTTCACTGATATAGATATTTACATATAAAGGTTAGAAGTCAGTTCATAGCCGTGAAAATTTTCTAGTAATACAAATTTTTACACACCCAAAAGTGAAGTATAAAATAAATAAATAAAAACAAATTTTCAATCAAACTGATTTGTGTAGTTCAGGGGCATCTTTAGTAAATGTTTTGGAGGTTGTTTTAATATATCCACATTATATATTTCTTAGCTGGAATAGAGATATATGAAATCAATCGCAACCCTATGAAAAATGGGGGTATATGAAAACGTTATCGCAGCCAATGAAAAGAGCCAGGGGTAACCCATTTAAACTAAAATTCTGATGACGAATAGATACCTCCGGAAGCATTTACCTAGAATGCTGAGATGAGGTATTTTTCCAATGGAATTATACACAGAAAAACGGGCGTGACACCTTCTAGAAAGATACATGATCGCAGGGTGTATCCCTGGAACCATTTTAAGCTAAACCTTGAGGGATTACCTTCCTGCTAAGATCTAAAGGCATACGCTGAAATTGCGTCGCATGCGAGCAGCTAGTCAAACTAATAAAAATTAGCCATTCGTGAAATAAAGTTTTACGATCGGTTTGGGTAAGGTTTAACCACTTAACTCGCTACTGAATTCGATAAACTGTCAGTTTTCACACAATTTAAAATGTACATGTGTATTTAAAAATGTCATGATAATTGTGTTGCTGGCTTCATGTTGCCAACATGTTGCAAGCTTTTTCACAGCCTGAACAGAATACTACTTTGCTGAGGAAGTGTTGTGGAATTTCACCAGTGTTGCCAGAGGAAAATTTCGTTTGGAGTTAAAACGGTCGAAAAAAGAGCTAAAAACAGCTAAATAATACTAAAAGTAGCTAAAATGAAGAGCTATATATTTTTGTTAAGGTTGAGCATTTATTGACCTAAGGTTGTTTTTACATTTTCGGAAACTTTAATAAAAACAACGAATTTTATAAGTTTAAGTGCTGAAAAATCTTTTAAACCCAAAGTAAGGTGCATATATATATCGAATTCGTTGATATGGCACTAATAACAGTGAACTAAATATACGTTACAAACTGTTAAAGTCTGTAATTTCAGATATTTGAATTGAATAATTTTTTCGCAAAATTTTTTCCTGGAAAGTTTTACTTCCAGCTCTCCTTGAAGGTACAATTAGTAAGGTAAAGCAAAATCCGCGCTATCAGAAAAAGGATTTTCTTCTAATTAATTTTTAAATTCTTTAACCTAGATCCAATAGTTTATGGTGGATACACTGTATTTCGAAATTTTCCATTTTATCAACTGCTTAACAACTAAAACTTTCTGAAGCTAAAACAAGAAAAGAAAAGAGCTAAAGGAAGAGCTAGGTGCTAAAACCCAATTTTCGTAGCTAAATAAAAATATAAAATGGCAACGCTGAATTTCACACTTATTTCACAGAAAAAAATTTTGTATACAATTCGACAGCGTTTTTACGTGAAACAGGAACAGAAGAATACTATGCTTAAGATTGCTTTCCCCTGTTGACGATACGCTCAAATGCACAACTTGCGTACATAAAAATAAAAGCAAGATCCACGAAAAACTATCTACATTAAATTGTGAGTCTAAGTCTTGTAGAAAAATCACTCAACACTTTAAGCAATACTAGGAGGGTGAGTTACTGTCGAAATTCAACCCATTTTCTAGTTTTTAAGACCACTGGAGAGATTTTCTAACTTAGCACGTCGTTTAATATATAAGGAACGTAATTACTTACCGTAAATTCCCCTGCTTCGGAACAACAACAACGTTTCAACATTTTTTAAAAGATTTCAGGTCAAAAAATAAAATAATTCAAAACCTATTTTCCAAAGTTATTTTAGGTCCGGGAAAATATTTTTTTTGAACGATACTACTTTTCTAAAAAAATTGTATCTCAAAGGCTTTAAAATATCGTTATATGCATTATTTTTATTTGCTATCTGTTCTCGTTCTTGAGATATTTGATTTTGCCAAAAAAAAAATAAAATATTTTTCATTACAGTGTGGTCGTACTAGCAATTTTTGTAGACACACTAGAAGCATAAAAATGTTGGGAATAGTAAATGATGCACTTTGTTCGGAAACTAGTAAATTTTTAAAATATGTATTTTTTATAAAGGGAGTGTTTGCAACAGTTTATACTATTCAAATAAATTAATAAATTAAGTATATATGCATATTAAGTAAAAATTAATTTATTTCAATTTCCTGCACTATCACTAATTGCAATTACTAAAACAATTAAAAAGCAAACACAATAAATATCATTAAAATTTCTTGATTCAGCGACATATTCGTTGTTTTTTCTCGATAATAACAAGCATTAATAACTTTATTTAATAATCTGAATCTTAACCAACAATTAATAACTACATATGAACATCCTAAACCAAATCTGTATATAGCAAGGAGCCTGATCTGGAGCTAGAAGGTCTGCTGAAACGTCACTATACGACAGTGGCGTTTTTTCAGGGCACCATGATGAATGCAGTCGATTTGGAACGAGTCAAGGTACACACAAAACAGCAACAAACGCAAAGAGAAAATAAAAACCACACCATTTACTGCAAGTCCTTGAAACCTTAAAAAGACCAAATAAAAAAACCCCAACACACATTTTAAACTGTATACCAGCTGCGAAAAAAAATCCAAACCAAGCCCCACTGTGCCTTAGGTGAAAAAAAAAACTAAATAAATTACTGGCCGATACACGCAATTCTTCTATGTCAGTGCAAATGATATTGCAATCAAACTTTTGTTTAAGGTTGTTTGTATGAATGTACATATAGCGCAAGAAGTATATGCCTGTACATTAGGGTGATCCAGAAAAGCATGTGAAAAAGCAAAGTCGGAATTTTAATGCCGGCACCCCCTAGGATTGTTCTAGGTATACCGAAAAAAATAGAACCCAATTTTTTTTTATTTTGAAATCAAATAATATTTAAGGAGTGCTCAAAGCGCTCAAAGTTTTCCATGTATTTTATATGGGGAAAACAAAAAAATTTCCTAGAAAAACTCTTGAAAACTCGGAAAACGCTGTTTCTCTTCAAGAGATCCCCAATAATAATACCCAATTCTTTCTTTGACCATCGTGCTAACTATATTTCATAATAATAAAAAATCTTTAAAGTGTTAAAAACAGGTTAAAAAAGAATTGGATTTTGATACTGGAAGTCTCCAGAGTTTTCCGATCGAAAAATATTAATTTTCAAGAATTCTGTACCATTTCTACGAATAGTGGTTTTTTCCCCATATAAAATAAAAAAATAGTGGTACATATATTCTACGGTATAGAACAATCATAGGGGGTGGCGGCATTAAAATTGCGACTTTAATTTTTTGGACCACTCTAATGTACATAGTATGTATGTATGTTTCTGTGCGTGTGCAAACTGATTAAAGGGATGTGGGTGTGTGTGTATTTGGATGGTCCAAAAATCCACGTGAAAAAGTAAAGTCGGAATTTGCATGCTCTCACCTAGTATTGTTCTATATCGAAAAAATAAAACCCTATTTTTTTTATTTTGAAATCAAAAAATCGACTGCATATTTAGTGATCAAAGAGGTCAGAGAGCCAGGTCCAATGACACCGCAATGTTAATATAACCATATTTTCTCTACATGTTGAGACCATTTTCGTTACTAGTGTTGGTTACAATGTAGCGTGGGCCTGTACTAGTATTTAACCTAGTCCAACTTTTTGCAGGGTTATGTAAGAAAAAAAAAGAACATTCAAACAATCGGTACTTAATTCTTGAAAATTAATATTTTTCGATCGGAAAACTTTGTTTGTCTTCAGAACATTTCCAGTAAAATTACCTGATTGTTTATTTACCCACATTTACATAGTAACTCCAATTTATAGGTCCAAGAAACCTCAGAAAATGCAATGGGGGACCACTAAAATGTCTTTGAAATTAAAATTCTTTAGTATAAAAAAATAAAAAACAAGGAAATATTTTTTTCAATATAGAATAATTCTAGGGGGTGAGTGCATTAAACTTCCGACTTAACTTCTTTTTTTTTGACCGCCCTAGTATGTATGCTTGCCTGATGATGGAGTGCGCCTCATCTTTCGTGGCCATAGACAAATTTTAGCAGATATCCACTTTCTGCGTCCGTGCCCCTAGCCGGTTACGACACATGTGTATCTGCGCAGTAGTATAAAAAAATAGCCACCATAGTGCAAACATCACCATCATCATTGTCCCTATGCAGCGAGCTTTCGACCAATTCCCATATTGCCATAGTACCATCCCAATTCATCGCTACCACAACTATGTACTTGAGTATGTACGTACATATGTATGTATGTATGTATACCAATGCATACGATTTTAAAGATTTACCTATTATCTCCCTACGTACATATGTATGTACATAAATTCGCCCATATTTTCGTCCTGACTTAACAATCGCTCTGCCTATACTGGCTATGTACATATGGGTCAATACATGGAAAATCTACCAGTTGTTTGAATCTATCATTTTTTATTTGGATGAATTTTGCTTAGAACTTTTCTTTTATCATATAACGAAGTTCTGCCAAAGGAAAAAAAAACATTTTTCGAAAGTTCAAAATTTTACAATTTCCTGCATTTTGCAAGTTATTTCTTCAAAATATCGTTTTAAACATAAAATTTAGGGTTATATATGGGTTACGTTAGGTCAAAATGGTTGCCCGAAGGCAAAGTTTCCCATGATGTCACTGTGACCCGGCACCCAAACTACCGTTACTACGAAGTACTGCGACGCGAGTGATATCGAGGTCAGACATTCCCTTACCGATTTTGAGCACACCATCATAGCGTGCAGGGCTCTAATGGCCGTCTGACCGTCCGAGTATGTGCTTACCTCCATAACTGACGTCAGACTCTTTAGCAGTGAGTCAACCGCTTCCTTAATGGCAACTGTTTCCACCTAAATAAAAGGCGCTGCAGAAGTCCGTAAGCCTGAACATAATTTTCAGAAAAGTTCCCTACCGAAGACAGCTCCACCAGCCCTGCCTTCAAGTTTTTCGCCATCCGTTAAGAAGTTTACCCCGCTCCCTTCTTCCAGGACCCCCGCCCTATCCAGTCCTCTCTTGAAGGAACCTAGGCAGAGACGGAGATGCTGGGAGACATTTTATGACGCATTAATCTATCCGTCAAAGCCTTAAAGAACTCCAGAGTCTCCAAATTTCGAGCCAGTTAACCACCCCGTATCCCTGAGCCCACTAGCATATCATGCTGCAACAATTCTTCCAATATCAGCAGGCCCAAGTTTCAACATGACGTTAAGCGTCAGTGTAGCTGTGGCTCTTAATGCCCCACTAATGTCGATTAGGGCGATCCGGTGTTCAAAAGCGCCGCAAAACAAGATGGTTTTATAGAGCCAATGGATTACTTTCCCTCTCCAAGAGCAGTACAAGGCAACCGACGCCCTTTCCTACAATGTTAAGGTTCCACAACAGCTTCCTACTTGTAGTTCCTGGTAAACAAGACCAGTTCCATCCAGTTGACTGCCCACTTGGTTACTTAATTCAGGTAGCCTTGCATAGGCGATCACCTGCCAGCTCCCTTTTTCCAGTTCCTCTAGAAGGTAGTTTGCAACAGCAATCCAGAGCAGAGGAGAGAGAACACCACCTTGCGGAGGGCACCTGTTGACTCTATGCTCTATCACGCAGTACGCTGTAGATGAACGTTATTTGGTTGGTTGAAACCCGCAGATTGTTAACAGACTTGACCATTGTCTCCAAAAAATACAAAAATTTCAGAATTTCGAAATTTAAAAAAATCGTACAAGCAAAAATTGTTTTCAAGGCGTATTTTAAAGACATGATTTTTTTCTTTAAATTTCAAAAATTAATAGATATCTATAAAAAAACTTTTAAAAGTTGAGCATCTTTTAAGACCAGCTGGAGGTATTCTCTATAGTAGAAGCATTTGAACCAAAAATTCCTATAAGCTTTTGCTTTTACTATTTTTTTAATTTCAAAATTCAGTAAAAAAAATTATATACATACATACACTGCCGGAACAAAGTATTGGCACAGCAAATTTTTCACAAAAGATGCAACAATTTTCGTTCTCATATTTTTCCGCTAATTTCGTGTAAAAATATAGTTCATTCTACAACAAAAAACATAAAAATATAATTCCTAAACTTTGTACAAAACTCGCGAAAAACTCAGCAAAATTTTCAACTTTTTAATCAGATTTTTTAGAATTTTTTTGAGTATGCAGAATTTGAAAATTTTGATGAAAATTTGCTGAATTTTCGCGAGTTTTGCACAAAGTTTTAGGAATTTTATTTTTATGTTTTTTGTTGTTGAATGAACAAATAAAAAAAGTTGGCTGAAAAATATTAGAATAAAAATTGATGCATATATTGTGAAAAATTTGCTGTGCCAATACTTTGTTCCGGCAGTGTATATATATATATTTTTTTCATTTATATATTTTTTTCTCTTTAGCAATAGCTATAACAGTTTTCGAGATATTCAAAAAAACAAAAAACATGCATTATTCCTGGAAATTTTGGAATTTAGAAAGTTGCATAACTTTGGCGGAACTTCGTTTTATAAAAACTAATCTAATCAAAATTCATCAAAATCAAAAATTGTCAATTCCTACTATTACTGGATTTGAAATGGATTGAACCAAATGTGTGTATGTCTGTCGGAAAAGTTTTCTATTTTTCTACTCTTATTTGATACTCCACCGCTACTACCATTCCAAACACCCACCTACCATTTTTTGCTTTGTAGTTTTGCGCCCTCAGCTCATTTTGTCTAATCATAAAATTTGCCACTGGCCATATTTTCTACTTCTTTTTGTCCTACACTTTTTTTGTTCCTTTTTAGTGCTTTGTCCACCAGAGATTCCGTTTGTGATTTTGCTTTCAAATTCGCCATTGATTTTGATTGATTGGGTTCGAGTGACGTTTTTGTTTTTTCTTTGTAAACGCAATAGCGCTTTATCTTTCTTCCTGGCTGGCCATTCTCCATGATTTTCTATGACTTTTCGTCGACATTTTTTTCCTATATTTTTTATTAATTAATTTTGTTCTATTGTGTACTTTGAAAGGATGCATTACACACATGAAATTTTATTCCTCATCACCGCTTCAATTTGGAATGACGTTTTTCCTTAATCGATATTGTCTTGTTTGAGAGTTTCAAGTAGTAAATCTTTGCCAACGATTTCTTATTCTGTTTCTAGAGCGTTTAGTGGTATGTAAACATAGTTTTTCCGCAGCGTTTTTCTTTTAGAATGTTTATGACTTATTAAATCAACTACTTTTTTCAATAGAACTCCGCTTTCATTGACAGCCAACTAATAAAAAAGATATGAACTTGACTTTATATTTTACATATCTTAATAGCAAATAGTTTGCATATTAATAACTTTAGTGTACTTTTATCTAAGTAGAATTTCTTATTGTTGATTTTTTATTAATTATGTAATAATAAATTCATTTTTCTATAATATTAGCAGTTTGCAGAAATATACAGTTACGTCTTAAAATTT